TATCTTTCTAGTCTTCCGACCACTCAAAGCGCTTTTACACTACGTGCCACATTCACCCTTTCACACACATTCACACAGCGATGGCAAAGCCCATCGAACAGAAACTAATGCATTCATACACATTCACACAACGATTCATGGCATAAGGAGCAATTCGGGGTTCAGTATCTTGCTCAAGGATACTTCGACATGTGGCACCAGGAGCCGAGAATCGAACCNNCCGAGAATCGAACCTACAACCTTCTGATTAGGGGACGACACGCTCTGCCTCTGCGCCACAGATGTGCCTTTAAATCACTTATTGTTGTTCCTGCTAAGTATATTGTGGAGTCATCCGCACACAATGAAATACATTACTTTTTTAAAACTAAAGGAAGATCATTGCCATTGCCATTTGCCTTCTGTCACACAAGTAGCTTTTGTGTGGGTCCAACCGTATTGATAGCAGACCCATGGTCACTTACTACATGCTAGTGTTCCTCTCAGCCTCCAGGTGTGCCATTGTGACGAAGGGGTGCTGGAGAGCCTTCTCAGGACTGATCCTATTCTCAGGGTCCATGTGCAGAAGACATCTCAGGAGGCTCACAAATATCCTCTGATCCTCCAGTTCAATGGACTCCTGCATCTCTGGGTAGAGCTGGATTTAAAACATAGTTGATTAGTTGATCTGCTTCCTGTCTCTCAATGACACAAACTGCTGTGAGTTTATTCTTTACTCATGAATGAACCACTTACTGTTATCAGGTCATCCAGACTTCTCAAAGACCTCGTCCATCTTTTAGGTGCAGTGCCGGTGTCCACCTGGTATTGCTTTGGGGTCTACAGGAACAAAATACACAAGTCAGATATTTCTTCCTTAGTCTAAACCTTTTCCAAGAGTAGTTGTCTTACTCAGAGACTAAAATGAAAGGGTAGAGGGGAAGCAGTTAAAATACCTTCATCCACCAGTTTGGGTTGTCCCAGTGCTGGTTCAGCTTGAAAAAATTGTGGGTGTTGCTGCCAGCACAGAGGAGGTGGTCAGCTGGTTGGCCCAGTATGCCAACAATGTCGCTCATCTGCAGAGAGAATATAAAGAATCACATCAAGTCGCTGTTGGGTTTGGAGCACTATTTGTTTAGATCTGGACAGATCTATTCACTTACCATCTGGTACTTGCCGTGTATCGAGAACAGGTGGTTCCCGAGGTACAAGAAGGCGAGCACACAGCCAAGACCCCACATGTCTATGGCCTCGGAGAAGGGGAGACCCAGGGTGACTTCAGGTGCCCTGTGTGTTGCATACAAGAATCACAAGAGCTGTTAGGTACATGTGAATACTGAAGGTTGATCTGTTGGATCATTTCCATATAAACGTGTGAGAAGACGCAGATTGAACCTACATGTAACCCAGAGGTTGAACATCCATCCCATGTCTCACTTCTGAGGTAGTGAAGGACAACCCGAAGTCTATAAGTTTCACCCTGAAGGGTTCAGCCAAGTGGTTTGCCAGCATTATGTTGTCAGGCTTCAGGTCCGCGTGGATGACTCCAATGCTCTTCAGAGCGTCAAAGGCTGTCAGCAACTGCAAAAACAAAGGAGGAAATGTAGATGATTAAAGACACCATTGATCAGGTTCTGCTTTAATTGATGAGCTTCTTCCTCAACTGGCTGAGGATATTGTTAACAGACAGTCTTTACCTGCTGTGCAATTGGCCGTATCTCACTGAGAGACAGTGGTTCAGAGTCTCTGTCCTTGATCAGCTTAAACAGACTCCTGTCTAACATTTCAAAAGCTAGACAGGAACATCCTTCGTGCTCGAACCTCTCAAGGAACTGAACCACGTTCTTCTTGACCGGGTCAAGAACGCTCACTAATTCGAGCATTTTGATCTGCGGAGAAAAGAGAAAAAATTACACTTTAAATGACACAGCAAAGTATCAACAGTTTGTTGAATTAGTCTAAAAGAAAAAAATTATCTACCTCTCTGTTAGCAACCGCGCTATCCTCAGCCTTTAGGATCTTCAGGGCCACTGCCTGTGATGTGTTTAGGTTCACACATTTGGCAACTTGGCCAAAGCGTCCCTCACCGATGGAGCCCTGAAGGAGGTAGCGACTTGAGTCGCTGCTCACAGCATTGCTTTTCTTTTCTTCTGCGACTGGAGACGGAGACAAAGACAACATGAAGATCACAACATGGACTAAGTGGTGCTAAATTAGAGCATTACAATTACTGGTGGGTTATGATGAAGGAGTATTTTAATGTTTTCCTTACCTGTTGTATTTGCTGTTGAACAGCTGGCTGAACTTGAACTTTCTGGCATTTTACGACTCTTAAGGTTTTTCCAAACTTGCCACATCCTAACGTCTTCGTATGAACTGTCCAACTCTGGTTTGTAGGTGTTGTTTTCAGCTGAAGACAAACTGACCAGTTCTAAACACAATAAGATTCTTTATCAACATCAGTTCCGTTCCAAATGACTGCTTCACTTTCTGTGGAATTCTCTTTTTATTGAGTGTGTTACCTTTACACCTGATTTTGATTCAATATCAATCTTTCAACTAAAATCTATTTATCCGAACCCTGACTTGTAGTACTGATGTATATTTACTTCAAATACAATACATAAATGCCAAATTTAATTAAGTATTCTCTGGTCTGTTTTAGCCATCTTATTGTTAAACATACTGTTAGCCATTACTAACAAGGAATATGTAAATTTTAACTTGCAGGGAAAGGATTACTCTGGACAAGGAATATAAGATTTCTCTTCTTTTACTATGGAGGATGGAAACCTTACATTTCATTAACATTACCATAACACATTATCATTTATATACTGCAATATACTGTAATCTCAACATGACTGACCTACTAAATAACATGGGGCAATGAAACAAAATTAGTAACATTACGAGTCCCAACTGATGTAAAAAAGTAAATTATACAATCAACGTTTAGGGAGGGACAGTCAGGGACAGTCATTCATTTCAACTTTCCCGATAATGAGCTGGGGTCCCTATTTCTAGTCCCTTAACAGTTTTCCTTGTAGGTGGTCTTTCGTCGTCTTCGCCTGACTCAGACGTAGGAACCTCCTCCTTGTGTTGTGCGGGCTGTCCCTAACCAGATGTCCTGTGGCTGATGGACTTGTATGCACTGCAATATGCAGCTGTCAGTAGGGGTAGATGTTCATCCCAGTTCTTCTGATTTTGGTCTACATAGCAACGGATCATTTGGAGGAGTGTACGATTCAATCATTCTAGCTTCTCCATTTGAAGTTGGGGCGGCTGTGGCTAATAGGTAGAGCGGGTCGTCCAATAATTGGAAGGTTGTTGATTCGAGCCCCGCTCCTCCCTGCCACATGTAGAAGTTTCCTTGTTGAACCCCAAGGTGAACCCCAACCCATGCATGAATGAGCTAGTTTTTGTTCGATGGGCTTTGCCATCACTGTGTGAATGTGTGTGTGATTTACAATCAGCTGCAGGAGAGAGAGAGAGGTGTGGGGAAGGCTTGTGAGAGCAGCGCCAGGTGAGTTGATTATCTCAGCTGGTACTCATAAAGTAATCACACTCACCTCTAGTGTGCTGGACCTGGGAGGGCCGACAAACACAACAGAAAGGACAACTGGAGTAAACCTTCATGGACTTTTGAAGCAGGCTAAGTGTTGTGTGAATAGTGTGTGCAGCTGAGAGAAAAAAATAAAGTGGTCTGGATTATTAACCTGTGTTCTAGGTTTGTGTGCTGAGAGAACCCACAGTAGTAGCAAGACTACAGTATTATTCATGTTTATATAATATATTATACAATACATGTCTCCTTTTTTGGTGTGAAAGCAATGCTTTATGGTCATTTCTGTTTGTGGCAAAGGGAAGGGTTACCAC